AAAAAAAAAAAAAATTGTCGGAAGAGACCAACAGCTTTTCTAGAAGAAAAGTTGTACTAATTCTGTACTAGCAAATTAGTACTTCCGTACTAATTTGCTAAGGTTACCACAACCAATAATGACAAATAAGGTGGCTTAAAAATACAATTTTTTTCCCTCACATTTAGGAGGCTAGAAATCTGATATCAAACTGTCAAGAAGGTTTGTTTTTTTTGAGGCCCTCCCTTAGGCCACCTTGCTATATCCTAAGTTGCTTGTCCCAAGGTCTGCATTTCTGTGTCCTTGTCTCTTCTTTTACTAAGGATACAGGTCCCATTGGATTATGGGCCACACCTTTGACCTAATTTAACCCTGATTACCATTCCAAATATAGTCACTTTTTGAGATATTGAAAATTGGGATGTCAGCGTATGATCTGGAGGATAATCCAGCCCATATCTTCTTAATGATGCCTTTCTCATCTGCATAAGTTCTTAACTTTTAACTTCATTTTTACTCACATTTAGGATATTCCTGACTCACTCCACGTGTAGTACTGCTTCTAAAACAATACACTCACTTATAAATAAACTTGTGTGGTGACGACAGCAAGGAAAGAGACATGCAGTTCAGCAGTCTTCTGAAAACACCAGAGTGCGTGAAGATGCTCCTTTCAGGATGTGTCCTTGGGAAAGTAAGTGGAAAATACAGAGACCCTGGAACAAACTCATTCTGCTGTACTGAGTTGGATCTTGTTCTTGGCAATGTCATCATTGGGATGTTGACCCATTTATCAATGCATTCATGTCAACTACACTCATTAGAACTTAAACTACATCTGAAGTCCCTCCAGAGAGTAGCCGCTAGTGTCCGGGCCAGGCACAATGATGCTGGTCATAATGCTTCCCACTTAAAAGCATCAGTGCATCCAACATCCTCTTCTACTTAGTTACAAAAGAGGGACATATTTATTTCTGCAAATGGCCCTGGTAAGAGCTCTTTTCTGTTTTACTGACATTTTTCCTGGGGGGAAAAAAAATCAGATGTCAACATCTTCCCTTTTTAGACCATCCAAAGTAGCAGTTTCTATCATTTTGTTGTTTCCAGATAGCAGCAGATCAGAGTCTGTTTATTCCGCACCCTGAGAACAGAACATGTTTCGCTGTCTCATTAATTTTTTCTTTAATTTCAGAGAAGAAATGGAAGAAAAGGGCCTAGCTTGAGGCTATACAAAAATCATTCTGCTTAGTAGATAAATCAGCCTGAATCTAATAGAGTTCAGTTTGGCTACAACAAAGCAAGTTTGCAAATTGATGGCTGTATCGCTAAGTTTGGTGAAGGGTTGCATAACACATCAGGTAGGCCAAAAAAGCACCAATAAATCAATCTTTACTAAACATAAAAAGAGTTGGCAGAGTTGAAAAAGAAAAGGAGGAAGCTGAAACGTGTGCGTGAAATTTCCACATTAAAAACTCATCGTTCTTGCCTGGTCCTGATGCAGTTTGAAAGGAAACAGACAATTCTATAATTTTAGCAAAAATATTTATGATACAATATACAAGTTCACCAAAACATTCTCTCCGATGTTCTCTCAAAAAATCAGTGTTCCTTACCCCAGCAAAGGCACTGCTAGAATACTTTATTTTTAGTTCATTTCAGAACATTCTGGATTCTAACTATGAAAAAAACAATCACTTTCACCTATCTTAAACCCCCACTCCCAGCTCCATCAATAACTTCTTCAACCAGATGTTATTACTTACATTCATATCCCACACTTTACAGGGGAACGTTCTGTCAGATATAGATGGAATCAAGGTCAGTTGGTCAGGGGTTTAAAAGACAAGGTCAAATATCAGGTTTCTGTTTTAGGAGGGAAAAAATGAGGAATTTAAATCAAAAGCACAGGTTTCAAGGGCTAGCCCTGAGAAACATCTGTAAACTCTTGGTTTGAAGTAAACAATGCATATGAATGTATATTAAAACATATGTAAATAGTGTTACTCCTTGCACTGTGCTAAGATATTGCAAAAGATGCATTCAAAAAGGAAAGGCACATGGAAGGTTTAATTCATGTATTAGTTCATTTATTCGGGCACTCAACAAACATTTATTTTGGTTTTCTTTGGGGTTGGACAGAATCACAATGATCAAATCAAAGTCTTTGTGGGAAACAAAAAGATACAGTGAGGAAGCGCAGTATACCAGATAGTGTCATCAGTCAGGGCATTCATGCTGGATTAAAAGGTTGCACCTTGGTGTGAGGACCGAACCAGAGAGAAGAAACTGTGTCAACCTGGTAATTATTTTAATGAGACACAAGAAGGATTTATTAGAGGTAGCTATAAGACGCACTCAGGAATGGAGTGCAGGTGTACAGAGAAGTGAACCACAGACTTTCACATTATACAAAACACTTTTTTTTCTGATTAATAAAAATTGAAAAACAAATTCTTACCAAAGGGAAAATGAAAATCAATAGTTCTTCTTAGAACTTCTCTTATTTGCTCGCATATTAATCTCTGTGCTTGGAGACATTTCTGGCCAACCTGAAGAAAACAGAAGCATCTACCTGTACATAGGGAACAGTTTTAAGACAGCTCTTAATTTTCTCCATTTTGAGTGTTAGCTCCCCTTTCTTACCTCCTCTGCTTGAGCATGGGTAGATTCTGTGATTTGCTTATAACTGAAGTACATAGAAAATGTGATGAATGTCCTATCTGTAATTAAAATATATAACCTTAGAGCATGTTTTGCAAAAAGACAGTTCCTATTATTAGCTTTGATAAGAGAAGGTGCATGTTGTAACCTTTGCTAAAAAATGGATCACATGACAAAGAGGAGAATCTACTCTCTGGACAACTGTCTGCAAGGAGCTGAGAACCACAACACACCCTCCATAGACAGAAAGACTCTACTAACAGCCACATGTGCGTACAGGATGGAGGGCTCCTCCCTGGCTGAATGCTGAGGCCACACTGCAACCCCAGGGGCCAGCACTTTGATTTTAGCCCTTTGATTTCCTGAAGCAGAAAACCCAGCCAAGCTATTCAAAATCTCCTGACTTGCAAAAAGCATGATGCAATAACCTTGTATTATTTTAGTGGGTAACTTTAGGGTAATTTGGTGTGCAATATGAGGTAACACAGATACACAGATAACATAGTATATAATAATAAAGAAAGAGGGAACTTTGATATTTAGGTTCTCTGCTGCTTAGAAATTACTCGATTTGATAAAAAATGATTTGGTGATATTTTAAAAACTTTTGTGGGGGATGTGTGTATCTTAAAGAAAGACAAATGCCCCTTCTGTTTTATGCCTTCAACCCAACCTTTAGGATGTTCCCTCTGTGTTCAACTAGCCTGCTACCCACAGCTCCACCCACTTTCTGAGACCAAGAGATGATATAGGTCTGGGACCAGGAAGGGAGTCTGAACTCTGACGGATGGTGAATCACTCCCATCAGCCACCTTGTTTTTTTTGCCTGACTGCCTGGTTTGGAAGGTGAATAAGCCCATGACTCTTGTCACCTAGAATAAAAGAATACTCTTACTTTGGTTAAGAAAAAAGGCCTTTCAAAGAAAAGATCTAGCCTAAGTAGCACAGCAAAGGGTGGGAAGATGTGAAATTTGTCTCAGGACAAATCCCCCAAACACCTGGCTTCAGTCTCCAGTAGAACAATATAGAAGCTCATTTCCTGGAGAAGCCTGGTGCCTTGACATGTATGCCTCTAAGTAATCCTTTCAGTTTGATATCGCTCAGAAAAAATTTGGTTCAAAATCTGCAGATCTCTTGGGGTTTAAAATCTCTGTTTGCTTTGGCTGTTGGATTTTCTCATGTCTCAGGGGAAAAACTGAATTCTAGATTCAGAAATGCCCAAAGAAAGATAAGGAATTAGAAGATATGTTTTACCATCTCCAGATGCCAAGGAATGAGAGAGAGGGAGGGTGCTATGTATACTTCAATATCAGAATATCTTTCCTCTGAAAAACTGAGTAAACGCTTCTTCAATCACTTAAAATGTGAAAAGTTTCTTTGCTTTTGAAGCATAGGAAAGCAGCAGATGGGCTGGATTTTCCCGGCTGGCTAAAATTTATTGATCCCTGATCAAAGCTATCGTTTTCTAGGTTTGGTGTTTGGTGATCCCAGTAATTTGTAATGTTTGTCATGTTTTTAAAGTTCGACCAGTTTATTCATATTTATTAAAATTACCATGGAAGGAATAGGAGGTGCAGGGACTTTGAGAAGGAGGTCAGCAAATAAGAAATTGGAGGAAGCAGGGGACAGATGGCATTCCATAGCTAACACACGCAAATGGGGAATTGCTCTCCAAAAAGGAATGGGTTTATTCTGTTGTCACTCTTTGAAGAAACCACTAGACTTTACATATATTTTCTGTTCTTGTGATCAAGATGCCGGAGTAGGAACTAGCTGATTTCCGCATTAGTACTGTGTATTTGTTTCAAGATGTGCAGAGTTCTGCTAGCTCCCTTAAGAACCAAAATGGTGACCAAGAAGGAAATGATAGATACACACGAGCAGATCACACAGACTAGCTGTATTCCTCATGCCCCAGAATGGGTTTGGCTGCAATTTTTCCCAGCATATTCTATCCAGCTGACTTGTTAATCAAACAGAAGAGGAAGCAATTCTCTATGGGCACAAGATGGCACAGCTTTGAGAAAGCCATGGCATTCTAATACCTGCAAGGCAGACATTTTGGAAATGTGAAACTTGTTCTAGTATGAATGAAAAGGCCCGTTCAACTTGGAAAAAATCTATCACCAGTTTTCAAGCAAATTCTGTTTTTGAAATCCATGTTTCCATGCTTCTCTCTGGAGTCTCAAAGTACTTCTTTAGCTGTGGGCTTAGTCTTACATAAGAAGAAGGAAATAGAGATAGAGAACGGAAGAATGACGCAGCTCTTAAGCTGATCCTTGAATAAAGGATCCTGCTAGTCTCCAAGCCCTTTCCAGTTGCAGTAATGGACCTGTTTGCCTTGCCCGATGAGAATAGCCCAGCTCCCGAGCTCTCTTCCCACTGTAAAATGCCTAAGGCTCAGGCTGTGCTTTCTGAGTGTTCATTAAAAGGCCTGCTCTCATTCTTTTGTGAGGAATCATCTATATTGTTTTTCAGTTTGGGCACCCATCCAATAAGAGGTGCATCTTAAATTTTCCTCCAAAGAGCAGAGGATTTAAAATAGCTCCCAAACAGACTCTGATGACAGCACCTCCCAGCACATCGCAAGTTTGCACCGTCTCCCCTCAGAGCAATTACACTGAAGGGAAGCAGTAGCAGTGGTGTTTTTCAATAGTAATGAATAATAAAGAAGGAAAATTAGAGAAAATTAAGTTGCGGCAATAGAAGAGTTCCTCAGGGACCATCTCCCCTTTCCTTTGGATTCTGTGCATTCAAGCCATCTCTGCAAAGAGTGAACCACTCTGAAACAGCCCGGAATCTGGGAAATAGGAGCTTTAGGAAGCCATTATTGCTAAGCTTATGTTAAATCCCTCCTGCTGTAGTTTTTGACATTAAATGCATAGTGAAACACGAGCAGAAAGCGTCTAACTTCAAGTGAGAATAACTTTTACCCTTCTTGAGAGGGTCACATGTGGCAACTTCACTTCAGCAATTATTTTTGTCTTCATTTGCAAATTGAAGGCCTGAATCAGAATCTTAGTGGGATATGATTACATATTTTTAAATAGACCTGGAAGGGACTTAAGTGAACTTAACTAGAGGATCACTAATAGTGCAAGTGACAATCTAGAATGTCCTTATGATTTGCAGCAGATTGTTTAGCTAGTTAGTGGATGGTGTTGGTTGGATCAAAGACTGTTTTTTTCAGATTCCTAAAGTAGATCAATCAAATTCCCTTTATGCTGCATGAATGAGTGTGTGCAGAGAAAACACAACTCCATGGTCAGAATAAAACAGAAGAAAGGATTCATGTGGCCCCTTTTCTTCCCATTGTTCTAGGGAAAAGTAAAAGGAGTAAGGAACATGCAGAGACAGAGGAAATGGGGACACACTGGCTGATGGGAAGGTAGGCAACAAAGAAGGTGGAGCTCATTCTACAAGTTCACATCCCTAGAAACTGGGTATGTTTGGTCTTGTTTAAAGAAAATTAATTCTATAGACAGGTCTCTCTTTCTTTCTTTCTTTCTTTCTTTCTTTCTTTCTTTCTTTCTTTCTTTCTTTCTTTCTTTCTTTCTTTCTTTCTTTCCTCCTTTTGGTACTGGGAATTGAACTCATGACCTCGCACTTGCCAGGCAAGCACTATGCCCTTGAGCCACAGCTCTGGCCCTGAATACTGCATTTTCATAACTGATCTTATACATAAGTTCTCTGTTTTATTCCACAGAACCTGAGAAGTCCTCACAGTTACACATACTAAAAAATAATAAATACCATGAGAAATTAGGTCAAAAATCAATTATGAAAATAAACCCAAGAATAATATTAATTTGTAAGTAATAGATAGTATATCTTTTTGTCTTAATGTTAAACAAGTTCCATAAATTTGGTTGAAAATATTTAGTTGTTAGATAATCTACATAGAATGACTGCATAAATGTGCATGATACTGAATGCACAAAGGTCTGTATTTTTGAATGACTGTTCTTGAATCCATATGAACATATGTGTAGTGTGTGTATGTGTATATGTGTGTGATGGCAATATGTATGCATATGTGTTTCAGCGCATGCTGGCGTGAGAGTATGATTTGTGTCAGTGCATACAAGTCTGCATATGTGTTTCTATACTCCAAATAAATACAATTTTTCCTATTACTAAAAACAGAAATAGTCATTTTTCACTAAATTCTGAAATATTTGCGGCCCCCACAGTTACCTGCGTGTTCCTCTCATGGAAAAGAAAACATTTCCATGTTGGGAAAAAAATACATAAAATATTTAAAATTTAAGTTAGTTACATTTAAAAATCTCAGATATGTGTTATTTAAAAATAGATCTTGACTATGCTATTGACACCTGGCTTGTTCTATCTAACAATAAAATGAACTTGATTTATTTGGGTCTATACTGGCCAGGATTGGGTGGCTATGAGACAGTATGACAAAGAAGTTTCAGAAGGAGCAAAGGGGGTCTAAACAGGGTATAAAACTTCTTGCAGTTTGTTTTCTGGTGGTCAAGACTCAATGAAATATCTTGGCTTTGTAATCCCTGAAATATTATAGGAGTCAGGAACCCTATTCATTTAGTCTAGAGCTGTAATTTCCTCATTTCAAAAAGTGTAAGAGTTGATGTCTACATTATCTGCTAGCTAAAATCATCTATGATTCTGCATCATCTCTGCTTTAGACAGTAAATCCAGTGAGATTTTTAACGCAATACTTCGTCTTTTGTTTTATTTCTAAGTTAGCCAATAGAACATCAATCTTTGTTGTTAGTTTTGTTGTTGGGACTATAAAATAACATCAGATTATTCGGTATTGTTACCTACCTTGGTTTATGCAAGAATCATTGCCTAGAATAACAGCATTTATTCTCGCCTTCACATTGTCTGCAAAATTTACATTGTACTGTCTTAAATGAAGTAAGTTATATAACTTGTCAAGTTCATCCACTAAAATATAATTTGAATTCAAGGTTCAAAACAAGAACGGCAACATCTGAGAGCTTGTGAATATCACATTCTTTTGAAAGAATTCTCTTGGAGGTACTACCATCAGGAGGTTACACAGATTCCGAGCACGTTGTGAATGTGTTTGTGAGTGTGAGGGTGTTGACGGATCAGGGCCGGGCTCTGCTATAGAGAAGGTCACTAACCAGCTTAAGAAAGCAGAATGCAGAAGTCCTGACTCGCTTTAAAAGAACAGTTCCTAGCACGTCTTGTAGAAACACAGAGAATCAAAGGTTGGACGTACCAAGTTCCATGCTGCATGAGAAAGGGGAAGTACGGGGAATCTTGGTGAGAACTGAGCTGTTTCAAGTTTCTGTATTACCCACTTCTGTCTTTGTTTTGATGAAGAAATTGAATTCCTTCAGCTAACTCTCAAGTCACTAAATATGTAACTAAGGAATGAGAATAATTAGTATAGCAAGACCCATCCTAAGTGACTTCATAAGAGCAAGACAGAAGCAACAGAACATTATGGTGAATAAATAGTGCCAAAAGTGCCCTTCAGATTTGGAATAATTTGCTTTCCTCCGTAGGAGGACAGGGAAGTTGCCTAAAGTCTCAGGGCATGAGTACTTTTTGTGCTGTGGTTTTCTAACCCCAGCAATCACATCTCCCAACCCACGTGCTATGTGTTTTCGTGAAAATGCACACATTGCAACAAATGCTCTTGAATTCTCTTATCTGCAGGATGGTTAACATGTTTGCTCCATTGTGCCAACCTGTCTTCTCCTCCACAATCTCTTTGGGAATATTTATCTTTTGTGAGTTACAGAAAGAATTCTTGACCTTAGAGGAAAGACAAATAAACAAATTAACCCCTATGGGATTATACTGGCTGCTTCTGGTCGTGTTGCCTTTTTAGACTAATCTTTTTTTTTCCCTCCTATTCTCGGGTATGATATATGACCTACTGAGGAAAATCATCATTAGTAGAACATTTATTGAGAAAGAGAACAATGCTCCTATTCTTTTTTCTTTGATTACTAGATTAAAAGAAATTAAGATTGGGAAACTTAATTAGCTTGTATTTGGTATTGACTGCTCACATTAAGATGGTCTTCCACATTTGCTGGCGTTGTTTCTGTTGCCTGCCTTGGCTTGAATTTTTATTTCTAATTAAAATTGAGGTAGTTCATGATTTAAGTCATAGAAGATTGTTTTAGGCTGCATAGATCACTTTATATGTGATTGTATTATGGTAAAGTTCAAGATTCATATTCCTAAAATTAGTATACATATACTTGCTATTCTTCATCCATAGTAATGATATGAAAAAGAGAACAGAATGATAATTAAGAAAAACCTATGTTTAAGAAGTCTGAGACTTGAACTTACTTATAAGTCCCCCAGTGGATAACAGAAGATAATGTCTGTAGAAGTGAGAGGGATCTGGAAAGAGAATACAATACTTTTCCTACTGAAGGTATTCTGTGCCTTGTGTCTGTGTCACATCGGTTATCACTTTGAATATTATTTCTCTATGAATACTTTATCTTCAGTAGGCATTACCAGTTTTCTGATTTTTAGTAAAGGGAATTAACTTTCTTATAACTCATTTTCTCTTAATAAGGCTAAGAATAGTAACTACCTTCCTAGATTATTTAAAGGCCCATTAGTTAAGCTATATAAGACTTAAAATCTGGTTAATAATTAGTACTAAGAAAAATTTAGCTGTAATTATTACATATTCTTCCTGGCCCTATAGTTTAAATTAATGGTGCATATTCTAAGCCCAAATTTATTTATTTATGTTATTTATTTATTTATTTTTTGTTTTGTTTTCTGGTACCAGGAACCGAACTCACGACCTTGCGCTTGCCAGGCAGGCGCTGTGCCACTGAGCTAAATCCCCAGCCCCTCTAAGGCCAAATTTAAATACTCAGATTATCAGTGAATTCACGACACATAGAATATCACAAGGATATTTATTAGAGGCTAATAGAAGTAAAACATAGATAGCTACTGTCCATTATTAATAGGGAGAGAGTAAATTAGAGTATATTCATAATATTAATGATCTTACAGTGATTTTTACATTTTTTGACAGTAAGTTAAGAATGTGAAGCCAAGCTGTAGGATAATATGCCACATAGACAAAAAATATTAAAATGCAAAACCTGTATTTTTCATAAATGTTTAAAAAGATTCATATCAGACTAAAAATAGTAGTTTTCTGCTGCAGAAATGTTTTAGCCAATTTCTTTTCTATTTTCTTTATTTCTGTGCTTAAAATTTATACTGCAAACTTATTTTATATAATAAAATATAATGAAAATATACAATAAAAATAATAAAAGAAGTGAAAATAAAGCTGATTTGAGTAGTTTGTATAGTGTTATTGGACACTATTGATTTTTTTTCTTTTTAATATTGAACTCTGTTTGTTCAGGGCCAAGTAAAATATAGAAGATCAGTTTATTGATTAATGAGTCAACAGTGACTATGAGCTTAACTGATTGGAATTAGTGATATCCTTCTTTAAGTATGTACACAGAAACAAATCAATAGTACCTTTTCAGGACACTACTAGGAGGACTTATAAGTAATGTTTGAGATAATTTATGTATTTTTATAATTCAAGCACCTTCACTGTCTAGAATAAGAAAATCTGAATTAAATAAAACCAAAGAAACAATCTTACTTGCTTTGCTTTGTGAATGGAGGTGACCTTATTTCTTTCTGTGTTTCATGGATGCCCCTGTATTTATTTTTTTTGTTGCTTTTGTTTTTTTCCGGTACCGGGAATCAAACTCCCGACGTTGTGCTTGCCAGTCAGGCACTGTGCCGCTGAGCTAAATCCCCAGCCTGTCCCTGTATTTAGAATCCATTCCTTTCTCTTTAATTCTCAATGGGAAATAGTTCAATATCCAAAACAAAAATATCGCTATGTTTTTAAGTTGAGAAAGTGTGACCTTATGAATTAACTGATTTTTTCCTTTCAATTTTATTTTTGGAATGAGCTGTGTAAACATGCCTTGCTGTCGGTAACAAGCGCTTGAAAGCCAACAAAGTGTTTATGAGCAAGTACGGAGGTTGTGCCACTGCAGTTGTATTGTCCTTCTCACACTGATAGATTGTAATCGCCTACGTGGACAGGAACTCTAGCTTTGTTGTATTCAAAATTCTCATAAACCGTGACAAGGAAATATGGTCAAGAGCAATATGCAAGCATCGTTCAGGGAAAAGAATGGTTTCCTAGGCTCTTGCTGAAGTCTGAGGAAGCAATGTGTTGGCTTGCAGAGATTTGGGAAGGAAGATCAATCACACCTCACAGTCCTGTCCCAATTCTGTTGCTCCTGAAGTGACCATATTGTTCCCAAAGTGGGGGTGAGGTAGACAAATGGTCAACCACAGCGGTGGTGGCACTTTCTGGAGCTTGAGGTGAAGGATAGGGCTTGGCCACTGGCCTTGCTGCCACCATCTATTCTTCCTTGCCAGGTGGTGTGGCA